AGCCGTTAGGGAAAGCGCGGCGAGGCCGCGAGGAGACCCACAGTGAGGCAGCAAGCAGAGGCGTGTCAAGAACAAGCCTTCCGATGCTAAGCGTGTCGCAACCCTAGGAGATGGCGGACCCACATACCAACTACATTAAACCTACGGGCCCCTGATACGGTGCGGGGAAACCTTGGTGACATGTGGTAGTCTATGGCGTATGGTGTGAGTTCACGAGCTTCTGAGAAACTAGGCATTGAGGATTCTTTTTTGACATAGCTGTCAAAACAACGACGGTTGTGCGACGCGACATAAAAAAATCGCATTATTCATGTAACTTCGCGACATTCGAAGTTTCGTGCACAATCAGAGCTAGACGTTCGCGCAGAGCCGGATGTCACCAACATTACCAAGTCACGACGCAACACACAAGCATTGCGAGAATCGCAGTTCTTGAGCGAAAATCTGCCTCCTTTTTCGTGAGAACTACCTGGGCGTGCTGAAACCGAACCCATTCCCTTTCCCCCACTGCCCTGCCGAACGGGCAAACCCCAAACCCCCCACTCTCCCTCCCCCTCCCCGTCAAATCTAACCCGTACAGGCCCCAGTGTTCCTCCAAGCCTGCCGAACCGAACCCATTCCCTTAGGGCGTCTAACCATTTTGATTTTTTTTTTTTTGCGTTTTTGCGGACGGTCCTCATATTTTGAAACGGACGGTCCAACTAACGAGAACAGAACCGTCCGATTTGACGTTTCGGTACTTTGCCCCCGTGCGGATAGGAAAGTAACACTTTTTGCTTGCTCATAATTTTGGCGAGAGCTGTAGCCTCGTTAGAGGCGGTATATCCTCGTAACGTGGTTCGCGACAGCTCGTAATCAAATTTTCGTCCGCCAATCGGTAGAGGTACTGTAGATTGGGTTTCGCGCGCCAATCTCTAGCCAGGACTGGCGGACTGTCCGTTTTGGTTTCGGACTTCCACGGTTCACATTCTGAACCGTTGAAAGAAGGAAAAAGTGTCACCACGGTTAGAATTGTTAGCGATGTCGCACAATCATTCACGAACATCTAAACGAGAAAATCCGAAACTAGTAACCATTTCGTCGACCGGACGGTCCACGGTTCGAGCCGTCGGGGGCAAAATGGTTACACCCTGCCGAACCACCCACCCCATCCCACCTGCTTTAGCATCATGCACGATTCACGGTTCACACCACAGGACCAAACGGGATAGTAACATGCGCCTAGCTGAGCTCATGACTGTCAAAACGATAGATTACCTGTGAATTAGGCTTTTGTGGTTTGGTTAGCGTAGTTTTATGTATGCAGTAACGAGTGCCCAACACTTAGCCCTGATTTCAAGTGCTGACTTGGCCCCAAACACGGACGCATAAAGTGCCAGGTTCGGCCTCAGACCGGAATTTTAAGGGCAACTTTTGGGGCACCTCGCCGTCCCAAGTTCTGCGCGCAGACCTAGCGAACAGCCCTGCTTGGGAGTTTCAGATTTGTTCTTTAATGATCGCGGGGTCGGGGGAGCGTGTGGGGGGGTGCCCTCCCGCGCGTGTGATTCACGTGCTGCGCGAGGAGGCGGGCGGGCGGAAGCTGAGCGGCGCGTACGCGTGCGTGGTGGTGGGGGGCACCTTCGACCGCCTGCACGACGGCCACCGCCTGCTGCTCCGGGTGGGTGCAAGCATGGCGCGGATGGGCATTGCGAGTCACAGCATTCCACCTCCCACAACCCCGCATGTCCGTTGCTACCCCTGCCGGCCTGCACTGTCTCCTCACCGGCCGGGCAAAACGGGTTAACCAGACGCCGCAGCGATAGCGGGTAACCCGTTGTGCGAGTCCACAGACTTACAGTTGGGGTCCTCTCTGCCGCCTTACGTGCTCGTGAGTGCGCATCTCATTTGGCCTCTTCGCCCTGATTGCAGACAGCAGCGGCAGCAGCGCGGGAGAGAGTGGTGGTGGGAATCACAGTGGGGCGCATGCTGCAGTCCAAAGAGGTGCGTGCAACTCCTTCTCCGCCCTGCACCGCTCCGCTTTGCACCTTACCGCTTTGCAGCACGTGAGCGCCATACCGCTTTGCAGCACGTGAGCGCCATACCGCTTTGCAGCACGTGAGCGCCATACCGCTTTGTAGCACGTGAGCGCCATACCGCTTTGCAGCACGTGAGCGCCATACCGCTTTGCAGCACGTGAGCGCTACCACCTTCATGCCTTTCTCGAAGCAGCCACATGCTTTCCCCCTGTAACTCTGACCGCTCCCTGCATGCTCTGTTGGTCGTGGTGGGTGTGTGTGCACCAGCTGTGCGAGCTGATTCAACCATTTGAGCAGCGGCAACAGGCCGTCACCCAGTTCCTCCAGGTGCTCTTTTTGGTTCCGCTGCCCTCCTCTCACGCATGTCTCGCTTTCTCTGTACAACCCTTTTCAACCACTCCCGTGGATGTCAAGCGTTTGTTTTCTACTTGTCCTCGCTCACCCCCCTGTCCCCCTTCCCACCAATTCCTCCTCCTTTGCTGCGTCCCATCTCTCACTGATGGACTCCCTACCGCCTCATGCTGCACCCCCCCATGCTGCACCCCACCCCCCCATGCATGCATGCGCCGTGCTGCATGGCGTGGCCATGGGCGGTGGGGCGAGGGCATGGGGCAGGGGGAGAAGGCGGGCATGAGGGTGGAGGCAGTGGCGATAGAGGACCCCTTTGGCCCCTCCATCACGGACCCACACATGGACGCCATTGCTGTCAGGTGCTCTGCTCCCATCTCAACCCATTCCTCACCCCTCCAATGCTCCTTTCATTGATATACGCCAAGGTGCAGCACATGTTCTTTCTCGCTTTCCAGGTGAACTGCATATGTGGATGCCCATGTGTAGAAGGTCTTTCAGGGCCGTGCCATTGCAGTCCAGTTACTATGAGTGAAGCAAAAAAAAAATCTGCATGTATAGTTCCTGTGAGTTGTTTCCCTTGCTCAATCCCGTGCCGCAGTGTGGAGACGGAGAAGGGAGCCCATGCAGTGAATGAGAGGCGCGCGTCCAATGGGCTCAAGGCACTGGATGTGAGTCAAGGCACTGGATGTGAGTCAAGGCACTGGATGTGAGTCAAGGCACTGGATTTGAGTCAAGGCACTGGATGTGAGTCAAGGCACTGGATGTGAGTCAAGGCACTGGATGTGAGTCAAGGCACTGGATGTGAGTCAAGGCACTGGATGTGAGTCAAGGCACTGGATGTGAGTCAAGGCACTGGATGTGAGTCAAGGCACTGGATGTGAGTCAAGGCACTGGATGTGAGTCAAGGCACTGGATGTGAGTCAAGGCACTGGATGTGAGTCAAGGCACTGGATGTGAGTGGGTGCGAGTGATGGTGGGGGGTGCGAGTGATGGGGGGGGGTGCGAGTGATGGCGGTACCCATGGGGTTGAATGTGCATGAGTGCGCATGCGAGTCATGGCACTCCATTTCTTCCACTAACCCCCGGTTCCCTCAACCTTGCTCTTCATGTGTCTTGCCCCACGGCGCCCGTGTGTGTGCCATGCCATCAGGTGATAGTGGTGCATCTGGTGGACGAGGGCGGCGAGCATGCGTGCATGGACGCCAAGATCAGCTCCACGCAGCTCAGGCAAAGGGAGAAGCAGCGGCTTAACGCACACTGATGCTGGGTGGTGCGTGGGCAAGGCGGGTCTGGGACCAAGCGAGGGTTGATAGGTGCCAGCGGGGAAGCAGGGAAGGGCAGAGACCACGATAGGAGCTGCTGCCGCCCATTCTGTGGTGCAGTGTGGCAGAGTTGGTTCCGCCGCGCATTCGGTCCTGTTGCTTACTGCTGCTGCCAGGGCAGGCAGGGTGGGCAGAGGCGAACGGGGGTGCCGAGTGGGAGGGATAGGTGGGAGGGGAGGGGAGGAGGGGGAGGGAGGGCATTGTGGGGAAGTGGCGCGCATTGAGGGCAGCAGCGAGTGGTGGGTGGTAGAGGAGAGAGGCAGGGAGAGGAGAGAGGCAGGGAGAGGAGAGAGGCAGGGAGAGGAGAGAGGCAGGGAGATCCATCTCCTTCTTCATGTCCGCCCAACACACTCTCCCTTCTCACCCATCTCCCCCCCTCCCCACCCTCCAGGCAGCAACCCCTATTTTACAGATTCCTCCCGCTCACTTTTGTTCCTATTGGATCGAAGCAGAGTCAATGGCGCCTGGTGCTGTGTGCAACTGCTGTGGGCCGCATATGTGCAGAGCAGAGGCAGTGAGAGCGTGAGAGCAGGTGGAAGGCAGAGGCAGAAAGTAGAGGAGTGGAGAAGAGGAACGGGGACAACAGCAGCAAGTACAGCAGGCAACGCAGGTGTCCTTGTGGCTACTGCACTTGCCTGCAATGCAGTGCAGTCTATGTGCTCTGCGCTGCAGTGCAGCACTGCAGGGCAATATTGTGCTGTCCGTGCCTTGTCATAGCAGCAACCACCAGTGGTTCTCTTGTGCTTGGGCTATGTTTGAAAGGCCAGCAAGCCATTGCTGGTGGCGTTGGTCTAAGAAAGAAATATTCAAAATCATGCACCCTTGCTCCACTTGGAAGCACTGACATCCAAATATATCTAATGCACCAGTTGCAAGATCAACAGCACTAGAGTGAACTTCTTTGTCAGGCCTCTGTAGCATGCTATTGCTTTCCCTTCAGGAACAGATGAAACCATTACCAGTAATCCCCCGGATATAAGACCCCCCAAAACAGAACACCCCAGGGTAGCTAATATGGGGGGGAGGCTTTATTAAACGTCCTGGTATGAAAAAAATGCAGTAATGGAACCACATTATGGTACAAGTGGGACCATATTCTTTGTTGAACGTTGCTCCTCCACCCTAGTTACCACTTCAAAAACGCACCATTACACTCAACTGGCTCCTGCTGGATGGCCCTACAACAAGGGAAGTAAAAACCTATTGAATGACCTCTCAGGCTATAAAGCGGTGTCCTTCAGGTGTGCCCCTCAGGTGCCACCTCAAGTGCCTCTCAGGTGTGCCTCTCAGGTGTGCCTGTCAGGTGTGCCTGTCACACAGCAAACTCATGCAGCACGTTGCCGTGAGCAGGCCGCCCCCCGAGCACCGTGAGCGTGCGCGCATGGAGGTTGAAGAGCGCACCGTGCAGCGTGTGGATCACCGGGCCTGGCGATAAGAGGAGCGATGCAGGGAGGAAAGGGGAAGGAGGAGGGGCGAGGTATGAGTGGTGCTAGCAGAGACGGTGGGAGATGAAGAGTGGCACGCAGGGTGAATGGTGCAGTGTGGAGGGTGTGGATCACAGGGCCTATCGGCAGTCAACACACCTCATCCACCCATGCACTCCATCCCTCACCTCTGCATCCCTCAAAGATGCAGAGGTGCACCCCACGCCTGCAACCCTCGTCACATGCCTCACTCGACGTCCCTCCTCAAACACCCCTCACTTTCCACTTGGAATAGTCCTTGACTCATTATCACGCACCACCCACACTGCGTATGTGCACCCCTCGCAACTCGCCCACACCGAGCACAGAAGCCCTCACCTCCTGCGTCGTACACCTTGCCCTCACCTCCTGCGTCGTACACCTTGCCCTCACCTCCTGCATCGTACACCTTGCCCTCACCTCCTGCGTCGTACACCTTGCCGGCGTTGAAGATGGGGAAGTCCGAGTCGTCTGAGTTGGATAGGATCTGGTGGCAGCACACACAGGTGGGAGGCGGGTGAGGCGGTGAGGCGGTGAGGGAGGGCGTTGCCTGCTGTGAATCTGAGACCTCGTCATGCGGGTGAGAAGGGGGCGTGGAAAGGCCTTGCACCCCTTGAAGGTGTGATACTCCATGTGATGGATTGGACGGCATGTGATGGATTGGACGGTATGTGATGGATTGGACGGCATGTGATGGATTGGACGGCATGTGATGGATTGGACGGCATGTGATGGAGGAGAGAGCGCGGTGAGGGGGGCGTGCGCAGGGATGGGAGAGGTGGGAAGAGAGAGAGGCGGGGTGGGAGAAGGAAGGAGGTGCGTATCGTTGCATATAAATAGTCCTTGTCGCATCCGACGGATGAGAAAGCGGGGTGAGGGAGGGGGCGAGAGGGGTGGGGGTGAGTGGGAGGGGTGAGGGGGAGGCGTGGGAGAGAGGCGTGGGACGTGGTGAGCCTCATGGAAGAGCAGCTGACCCAATCCAATCCACCTCGGAGAAATCACTGTCAGATGCCATCACTCACACCACCTTGCATGCACCAACCAGTGCACGTGGCACTGCCTGCCAGTTGCAAATGCGAGGGAGGGATACTAACCAATCGATTCATTTCAATCACCACTTACATTCTTATTGTCACTAAACAGTTTGCTAGTGCCCCACTCACTTGCAGCATGCCCTGTGTGGTGGTGGGTGCGCCCAGGCGGCGCGCAATGGCCTGGCGGCGGTGCAAGCTGGGGCCCATCTTCTCCCGCAGCCGCAGCCTCGTGTACACGTTGGCGTGGAAGAGGTATGCCGTGCCCTCTGCTGCACCACCACCACCACCACCAGCTGCTGCTGCTGCAGCCTTGTCAGATCTGCTTACTCCGCCCTCAATCTCCTCCCTCCCTTCCTCCACCGCCCTCTCCCTTCCTGACTCCCCCTGGCTTCCCAGCTGAGGGCTTGGTCCCAGCTCCAGAATGCTATGCCGGCCGTTGGATGCGGTTTCGACGGACACGATTCGCCGACAGGCAAAGTCCATCAGCACGTAGTGATGCCCCACTGCCACGGCAGGACCAGTCACGCGCTGCCACGTGGCATGGGCCGAGTTGGAGGCGGGTGTCATGGTAAAAGGGGATAGGAAGGAGTGAGGTGGGGGAGAGGAAGAGGGGGGGGTGGTGTTATGCCTGCCACAAGAGTGGAAGTGTTATGTCTGCCTCAATAGGAAATGGAGAATTACAGGGTCACGGGAGAACCGAAGGGTTACGTACGTGAATCTTCCCTCCCATTCACCCATTCCCTCGATAATCACTCTCGCACACCCAACATATCAACCTGGCCTTCCCAAGAAACAACGACCCCAGTCATCGTGCACCCCCAACCCCTTCTGCCTGTCTACTCCCACGTTTCATTACAGTCCCACTTGTTACAGTCGCACCCGTTCAGTCACAGTCACAACCACATTTGTTACAACCTGGTTCCTCACAGCCCTCTAACCTGCAGGGCGTCCTCAATGCAGCGCGCCTCCATGAGGCTGCGTGCAAGGAAGTTGCGCGCCATGCCGCCCTGCAGCACCTCTGACGGCGCTGGTGGCACCGCGTCCATGGTGAACGCCTGGGAGGGGGGGAGGGGAGAGGCAGGGGACAGGGGGTGGAGAGCACAGGCGTGAGAAGGGATGATGCAAGCAACAGAGTTCCGCCCTATGCCTCCCTTCACCACTTGACAGCGGCAGACGGCCAGGCAGGCGTCAGGCAGGCAGGCGGGGATTGTGGGAGAATTGTGGGAGGCGAACAGCATCGACGGACGCTCTGAGATGTCCCAAAACACAAACATGGCAAACAACAGAGCTGCGCCACCAGACGAGCAGGCAGGCAGGCAGGCAGGCAGGCAGGCAGGCAGGCAGGCAGGCAGGCAGGCAGGCAGGCAGGCAGGCAGGCAGGCAGGCAGGCAGGCAGGCAGGCAGGCAGGCAGGCAGGCAGGCAGGGGGTGTGCTGTTGCCTGACCATGCTGGCGTCGTTGAAGGCAAAGGCGACGGTGGGCAGCTCGCCCGCATAGGTGTATGCCGTGAATGCCACCCCACTGTCCGTGTGCATGTGCACGAAGAAGCTGCGAGGAAATGAGGCGGGGTGCAGTGGAGGAGGAAAGAAAGAGGGGATGTTGAAATTATTCGGAAATGACATGACAAAGCATGGCATGGCAACGCATGAACATGGGCATGTCCATCCCTGCACATGTGGGAATGGCATCGCATTGCGTGGCGTGGCAAGGCGTGGCATGGCCTGGCCTGGCCTGGCATGGCATGACGTGGCACTCACGAGTTATCCACAATCGAGTAATCCGCATCCTCGTTGTGCCCCACTGCTGCCACGTCATCAGTGAGCAGCAACACGTCAGTGCAGTCGTCAGATGCCATGCCGTACTGCGTCGCCCTGTCCAACGTGGCAAGCTCTGGCAGGACCGCTGACGTGGCAGGCGCGTTGAGGGAGGGCAAGAAGGCACCGAACTCCTTGCGAAGGTTCAGAAGCAGCAGCTGACGTGGATGGAGTGGGTGATAGGGTGCAGCAGGGCCGGGAGGGATGGGATAGGGTGAGTGTGTCTTGTGGTTGAAAAATAGGGTACAGGTGGAGGTGGAGATGATGTGAGCAGACAGCAGCAGGGGCAGTGTCCGCTGAGAAAGCACGAGAGTAAGACACGGGTGGCCCAGTGAGACCCGTACAGCAGGCTTCACGACAACACGTGCACTGCAGGAATCCGCCCTATCCCACCAGCGCACCACAGCTCTCCTCAGGTCACCTGCGGTAAAGAGGGTCGGCTCCTGTTGCCACACACGGCGATCCGGGTCACCTGCGGTGCGGTGAGGGGATGGGCATGGGGATGGGCCCACCTGGTGAAAGGGCACGCTGCTGCCGGCCGCCATGCCTTGCAGCTCCTCCCAGTACTCCGGGTACAGCGCCCTGCCACGCCCGTGTGGGTAGGGGGGGGTGTGGGGAGGGGGAGAGTGGCGGGGCGAAACGAAAGTGAGGATGCGCGACGGAACTGTTGTGGGTTGCTGGTTACGAATCGTATCACTACCACAATATGACTGGACTTGGGACAGCATCTAGTTAAGAAGCGTGGGCTCGGAATGAAGCACTCACCTGTTGGACTCGGAAAACGCATTCAGCAGCGCAGCCCCATCGCCCGTGCGTGCGAACGGAATCATGTCGTCGTGCAGAAACGGCGCCTTGGCGACGCGATCGCGGATCTTGTCGCCGAAGCGCGCGCCGATCGCACAGCCGCGCTCGAACGGGCTGCCAGACACCTCGAGCCGCTCAAGCGGCTTAGGGATCGCCGACGCGCTCGCTGCACACACGTTCACTGACGTGGCTCTGGCTGACGTGGTTCGTACGGGGGATTTGGGGGATGGAGTGAGTAGGCTCGCGGATGCGACTGGTGGTCGCACGGCGACTGGCGAGGGAGTCATATTCGCGCCTGCGACGGTGGGAGCCATGGCGAAAGGCGAAGTCAGATTCAAAAGTCGTCGACACGATCGTACTAGTAGTGCTTTCGGCAGATTTAAAGGCGCAGCGATTTCAACAATAAGTACGTTACGTCACACGACATCGTAGCGCGGCTGAGGCGGTTTCGGCTACTCTGACGGTCATGGCGCAAGAGGAATTGCTCATCGAAGCGCGAAACTCACTTTCTGCACTTAGGGAGGTGGGAGTTGACGGGTCATTTACGATGTGCTGGCTTTGGTTAGAGTTGGTGGTTATATATTGATCGTAATCAATGTACAAAACATAGATCATAGAGCTATCTAGAAATATGGCCGAGATGGCCAACATCCTATTAGTAGCACGTGGAACACACGTTATTTCCATGTCCTAACGGACAACCACCAGAGATCTGGAGAGAAGCTCTATGCTGGAGCCATCTATGGGGGTTGGAAAGGGTTTCCCAGGAGCCATGAGAGTCTGAGGTCGGGGTGGATGGAGGGTATGCCGCGTCTGTCAAAGAGGAGGAAGCGGAGTTTTTGTGCCAGCCTTATACCGGAGGAGGTACGCTGTAGCTTCTTGGTAGATTGGCGACGACTCCTCTATAGGAAATCCGTCTGCTTTAAAACGCCGTCGTGAACTCAGAGCGTGTTCCTACACCTCGTATCAGAAACACCTCGTATCAGCTTCGCGTGGTGAAATACGTTTCAGTGTGTTCGACTGCGGTTGGATGCGTTTTAGTGCGGTTCGACGCGAATCTGATACGAGGTTGCCTGATATGAGGCCGTAGGAACACGCTCTCAGTTCTTGATGGAAAAATTCGTGTGAGCTATTTCTGGATAGGTCTGAGAGTCGCGAATCCGTTGCACTAAAGAATGCCAAGATCGGCCAAGAAATGAGAATGGTAGCTTCAATAATACGGGGCTGGGTACACAATTCCAGAGTGGATGCAATTCATAATGACGAGAGAGTTTTTATACTCTATAACATAGAATACAAGAAAATCCCTGTAGTCGAATCGCATTTGTAACCGAACCGCGCGCGATCCGTAACCCACCCGCTACGTCCCTTTTCTGTCTTACACTTCCGTCAATGCATTCAACTTGTACTTACAATTGGTCGGACCAATTGTATCGCGCCATGTGTTTGGTTCATTCCGCCCACCTGTAAAAAACCCTCGATGGTTTTGTTTGCTAGCTACCACCCAAGTGCAACTCTTGTTTTGAGTGCACCGCCACCCTCCGCCCAAACTCTCGACACCCAACCCAACTTGGCAAGGTTGGAGGTGTGTGTAGTGGGGACCACTTGGCCCCCACCGACCCTCAACACACTCCCCCTTGGTCCCCACGAGCACCTATGCATACAAGCCTACCCTAGCACAACATGCATGGAAGGTATCTGTAGGCAAAGGCTTGGTGAGGAAGTCCGCGGATTGAGCGTTGGTCTTCACATAGCGTAGCTCCACCGCCTTGTCTTCGACGAGCTTGCGGATGAAGTGATGACGGATTTGGATGTGCTTGGTCCTTCCGTGAAGGACCGAGTTCTTGGCGAGGTTGATTGCCGCTTGGTTGTCCACGTAGATCGGTGTGGGTCCCTCTTGCTCATATCCTAGCTCGGCTAGGAGACGCCTCAACCACACCGCTTCGGTCCCACCACGGTTGAGAGCAACATACTCGGACTCGGTTGAGCTAAGCGCAATCAAGTTTTGCCGCTTGCTTTGCCAAGCCACCGCTCCCCCAAGGAGCGTGAAGAAAAGGCTTGAGGTGCTTTGCCGAGTGGAAGGATCTCCCGCCCAATCGAAATCCGTGAACCCTATGAGTGCTATCGGCCCGGCTTCATAATAAAAACCCTAGGTGACTAGTGCCCCTAACATAGAGAAGAAGACGATGCAAGGCACACTCATGCTCCACCATGGGGTTGGAGACTACTCGCCCGAGTAGCCCAACCGTGAAAGAGAGGTCGGGACGAGTGCTCACGGCGGCATACATGCATGACCCAACAATGGAGTGAAAACGATTGGTCTTCTCGAGATCCATAGGGGTTTCCTCGCTTGTAGCCAAAGGGTGGAACCCCACTTCCATGGGTGTGGGTGCCGGCTTTCTCTCGCTCATCCCGAAGCGAGCCACCACGTCCTCCAAGTACTTGTGTTGATGAAGATGGAGGGTCTTGTGCGCACCATCGCGGTCGATGTGCATGCCGAGGTAGTATGACACGGCACCAAGGTCGCGCATGGAGAACTCCAATGCAAGCTTCGCCTTGATCTCCGCCACAAGGTCCTTGCAATCGAAAACGAGGAGGAGGTCGCCCACGTACAGAAGTAGGACGAGCTTCTTCTCCCCACGGTTGAGGATGTAGAGGGCGCGATCACACTCACTCTGAGTGAAGCCCAACTCAAGCAAGTGCTTGTCCATCCTCATGTACCAAGCTCTAGGGGTTTGCTTCAAGCCGTGGATGGTGCGCTTCAACTTGCACACGAGGTCCGTCCCATCCTCAAACCCCGGCGGTTGCCGCATATACACCTCCTCCTCTACGTGGCCATAGAAAAAATCCGGTCTTTACATCAACTTGTTCTACCTCTAAATCAAGTCCTCCCGCTAAAGCTAAGAGGACACGAATGGTAGAAGACGTTGCTACCGGAGCAAAGGTCTCGTTGTAGTGAAGCCCGGCCTTTTGAGTGTATCCTTGTGCAACCAAACACTGCTTGTAGTGCTCAACCTCCCCATTTGGCCCGAGCTTCTTCTTGAAGACCTATCAGGACCCAACAGTGTAGCTATTTGGGGGCAAGAGGACAAGGTCATACACACCATTCTCCATGATAGACTCGTACTCTTCATTGAGCGCTTGATTCCAATTGGCGGCTTGGAGCGTCTCCATCGCCTCACGGTACGTGGTAGGTGTGAAGTCGGCCATGAAGCACATGGATTGTCCCCCTTCCTCATCATCCTCCATCGCTAATGAGGAGTTGGCATACTTCGGGTTCGAATGAGAAGCTCTTCGAGCACGAGTAGATGCAAGCGTTGGAGCGATGATGGTAGAAGGAACACCATCATTCTCACTCTCCACCCCAACCACTTCAACAACATCTCCCTCCTCATCTTCAACACCACTCTCCTCGGGAACACGATGAGGTAATGGCTCGTTTGTGTCATCAACCGTTGGAGGGATGACCACGATCGAGTGCTTCTTGCTTGTTGGAGTTGGAGTTGGGAAGCGGCTTTCGAAGAACGAGACGTCGAGCGACACCACCACCTTCCCATCCTCCAAGTCCCTTACACGCCATCCCTTGTGATCAAGGCTATGGCCCAAATGTATCTCCACACGCGCCTTCACCTCAAGCTTGATGCGTGTAGCGTTGGGGACGTGATAGTAGCAAATGCACCCGAAGGTGCGAAGGTTGGAGACGTCGGTCAAGCGGGGTCTTGTTCGGCACGGTCTTGGTCAAGCTTCGGTTGTGAATCCAAGTCGCCAACATCGTCGCCTCCCCCCATCAAGATTTGTCCGCATGAGCATGGGCAACCATGCTTCTAACCGCCTCAACCAAAGTGCGGTTCAAGCGCTCCGCCGCTCCATTTTGTTGAGGTGAATGAGGAACCGTCATTTCATGGAAGGTCCTGTCAGAAAGCAAACACGAAACCGGCCAACAGAGCCGCGAACGACGGGACGAAATGGGCGCGACGAAGCCGCCAGCAAGCAGATCGCCGCCGCGATCGTTTTGTCCGCCACGAACGTCGCGGCGGATCCAGCGGCGGAAACGCGACTGGGGGCGACGAACGTGGGCGGGAAGAAGGCATTGACGAGAGGCATGACGGGCGCAATAAGCAAGGGAATCGGTGGGCCCATTAACACTCTAATACCATGTCAGAATCGTAGCATAAGTAGGAGCTAGGGTTTTGGTAGGGCCTAGGCTTAGTAGCCTAGGCCAAGGGGGTATGGAGAGAGTTGTGCCAAAGAGAAGGGGGTTGCACTATACAAACAGCAGTACATATAAGCAAGAGCTAGGGGTGCACCACCAACAAAGTATGAACCTACATTGCAATTAATGCAAAGGACAGTTTATATACAATATGTTTCCAACACACCCCCTAAACTGTTCGCAGCAATAACCAGTGCAGTCAACACCCCCTGAAGGGGTACACCCAAGGCAGAGCGCAGCGGACGAAGCAGACGGCAAGTGAGGAGGAGGAGGGACCATGAGAGGAGAGGAGGTGGGGGGCGGTGGCTGAAGCTGCTGGCATCACGGCGGCCACCCCCCTTCAACCTCTCCCCCCCCCCCCCTCCCCAAACCTCCCCCCCGCAGCGGCAGTCACGGCAGGGCAGACAGGGCAGGCATTGCAGGCAGGGCAGACAGGGCAGGCACGGCAGGCAGGGGCGGCTCAAGGCAGGGGCGGCCCAGGAGAGGGGCGGTAGGGAGAGAGAGGAGGCGGGCTGGCGCAATCTGGTCACCCCCGCCACCCCCTCACCCTCACACCCTACCGCCTGGCGCAGGCAACCCTACCGCCACTCCCCCGTCCCCCTCACACCCTCCCCCCTCCCCCAACTGTTGCACGCGCAGCAGGGATAGGGAGGAGAAGGGGGACGAGGTAGGAGCTGCGCGTGCGGCTACAGATGCGTGTGCAGCTGTGCGCGTGCACAGCTGTGCGCGACTCCGCACGTGGGACAGCAGCGCGCGGGGCAGCAGCGTGCAGGGCAGAGGCGTGCGAGGCACCGGGCAGAGGCGCACGAGGCGCCGGGCAGAGACGCACGAGGCGCCGGGCAGGCGCACGACGCGCCGGGAAGAGGCGCATGAGGCGCCGGGCAGAGGCGCACGGGGCGCGGGGCAGTGGCGGACAGCAAGGTACGGGAGGCACAAGGCAGGGGATGAAAGGAGGAGGAGGCGGCTGATGCTGCAGCTGGACTCACCCAACCCCTCAACCTCCCCCCCACAGCAGCAGGCACGGGAGTGAGCGAGAGGAGGAGGGCAGTCAGGGCAAGCAGGGTAGACAGGGCAGGGGCGGCTTAAGGCAGGGGCGGCCCAGGGCAGGGGTGGCTGGAAACGGAGAGGAGAGAGGGGGTGGGAGGAGGTGGCTGGTGCTGCAGATTCCCTCCTGCCACCCCCTTAACCTCCAAGCTCCCCCCACTCCCAACACAACAACAGGTGCGGCAGGGAGAGAGAGGAGGAGGTGGTGGGCGGCTGGCACTGCAGAACCCCTCCTGCCACCCCCTCACCCTCCACTATCCGCCACCCCCTCACCCTCCACTATCCGCCACCCCCATCACCCCTTCCCCCCACAGGCGCTGGTGCTAGCAGCAGGGCTGGCGCTGGGCGCTGACGTCCGCGCTGGCGCTGGGCGCTGGTGTCCGCGTCCGCGTTGGCGCTGGGCGCTGGCGTCCGCGTCCGCGCTGGCGCACGTGCTCACTCGCGGCCAACAGAGCCGCGAGCGACGGGACGAAACGGGCGCGACGAAGCTGCCAGCAAGCAGCTCGCCGCCGTGATCGTTTTGTCCGCCACGAACGTCGCGGCGGATCCAGCGGCGGAAACGCGCCTGGGGGCGACGAACGTGGGCGGGATGAAGGCATTGACGAGAGGCATGACGGGCGCCATAATCAAGGGAATCGGTGGGCCCATTAACACTCTAATACCATGTCAGAGTCGTAGCATAAGTAGGAGCTAGGGTTTTGGTAGGGCCTAGGCTTAGTTGCCTAGGCGAAGGGGGTATGGAGAGAGTTGTGCCAAAGAGAAGGGGGTTGCACTATAGAAACAGCAGTACATATAGGCAAGAGCTAGGGGTGCGCCACCAACAAGGTATGAACCTACACTGCAATTAATGCAAAGGACAGTTTATATATAATATGTTTTCAACAGGTCCCTCTCGCCTTGAACCATCCGTCGAGCTCCTCGTTCACATATTCTCCTCCCCCATCCGACCGATTCCGATTCACGAGTAGTCCGTTGCGCTCCGTCTCAACAAGCGCCACCCACTTCTTGATTGTCGTGGACGTCGCGCTCTTGTGTTTGAGGAGGTAGAAACACACCATGCGTGTAGCGTCGTCGAGAAGGGTGAGTATGTAGCGTGCTCCACCTTTGGAGGTAGGGGTAATCGGTCCACACAAGTCGGTGTGGACAAGGTCGAGCGGGTTGGAGGCGAGAGGCTTCAAACTAGAAGAAAATGTCTTCCTTGCCATCTTCCCTTCAAGACATGCTGAGCATTTCTCCACCTCCTCATTCGTTGACAAGTCCACCAAGATCCCGTGCACCACGCCTTGAGTTGCCATGGTGCGGATGGTAGACGCGCTCAAGTGCCCGAAGCGGTTGTGCCACATCTCCAAGGAAGGCTTCGCCACCGCCGCGTGCGCCGACGCAAGGTTCGGTGTAGCCACGAGCTTGAAGAGGCCGCCGTCTTGATGCGCTTTGCCGATGAAGCGCCCAGGAGACGTGCTCGAAGTCATGACCGCGCCTTCGATGTTGACGTGCACTCCCTTGGTGGTGAGTTGTGACACAGAGAGCAAGTTGGCGCCGAGTCCCGGTACAACCAACATGTTGTTGATAATCATTGGACCGCCGTCCACTGCGAGGCGCAACGTTCCGCGTCCATTCACCTCAAGCGAGTCTTGATTTCCGAAGACCACGCGCTTGTTAGGAGCATCCGCCGAGACATCTTCAAGAAGCTCCGCGTGCGGCGCTATGTGTTGTGTAGCTCCCATGTTGAGAATCCATGCTAACCTGCCAAGAGAACCTTCTCCCGCGATGAACACTAGCTCCTTGGTGTCATCTCCCGATGACACCACGTTCGCGCGCCGCTCCTCTTGGGTTGGAGGCGTTGGAGTCCAATCCCTTGACTTGCTCCGACACTCGCGCCACCAATGCCCAATCTTCTTGCAATACCGACATGCCCCTTCTCGAGCATGACCACGGTTGTTGTTGGCGCGTCCTCCACGTGAAGAGCCCGCGCTTCCTCTTGCATGCCCACTGTCATTCCGTGGCTTGGTGTAGACAACGCATTTCCTCGCGCCACGCGTGAAGTGGGTCGAACTCGTTGCATCGCCTTGCAAGATGTTCCGCCGCATCTCCTCATTGATGAGGCGCATCGTCACCCCCTCCTTGGTCCACATCGCTTGCGTGCCTTCAAGGGTGGTGATGTGTTAGATATTAAGGACGGAGTCTATGAAGATTAGGGGCCGAAATATCTCAAAATCGTTGGACTAAAATACTGGACAGAAATGTCGGCTCCACAAGAAACGCCGTCGACGAACAGTTCATTGTTACAACTTCGCCAATTTCACATATGTTGTAGCTCTAGACCGTGGCTACAATTCCCAATTTGAATCGTATCAAAATGTGAAATAAAACTGGAGTTATGAATTTCGGTGCACTAGGGGGTATGCTGGAGCTGAAACTTAACTCAATCACAATAGTTCTCCCAAGAACCACAAAGAGGAATTAGAGTAGCAAGAAACCAGGTGGTAGGGGATGAGAAAGACGAGAGGGAAGGTCCCCAAGGATTTCCCAACCAAGGAAACCCCATAAGCACACAATTCCCCTCCCTATAGGCACCCCAACTTTCACCCTTGTCATTTTCCCAACCCATGCCATCCACCTCACCCAACTTGGCCACACTTGCCAACCTGGTTTGACTTCTTCTAACCACTTGGCATCATCTATTGTAGAAGTGACGAATTTCCCAACCCCCAATGGTCTATACCCCATATAGAGTCACTCCACAAATTCCCATAAGTCACCACAACCAAATCTCAAAAGAATACGAACTTCGATCGTTCGTAATTTTCTCGTTCGTGCTCTGATTGTAGCGATCCTTGGTTCGTCGGAAAGCTCTTGAGCAGAGAATTTATTTCAGATATCTGCTCAAGCAAAATAGCATTCAGACACACACTCACAAAGTCCAAACAACACCAAACAACAAATATTGCAGACGCTCACACCACACATGCAACACACGAACATATGATGGGAGGCAGACAGACGTGAATGCATATGATAGCATCACACAACATGATGATGGTTGACCATTCCTCTCCAAGCCCTCCAAGAAGCGTCATGATCCAATCCTTCTTGTCCACGTTTGCTTCAAGCTCCACCATTCGTTCGCCAAGCTCCTCAACGCGAATCACGTACGCGCGCATGCGCTCGCCCTCCTTGATGCGCACGGTGAAGAAGTTACTCCTAGCTTACAACTTGCCGTGGAGAGACTTCGACACGTGAATGTTCTCGAGGCGCCTCCAAGCTTCATGTGTAGCTCTTTCAAGGTCGATGCACGAGCTCACCACCGTCACGAGTTGAAGTCCGAGCTTCAACACGAGAAACGAGAACGCCTTCTTGTCCTTCTTCACCCATGCTCCATGCTCCGATGTCGAGGCGCTTGAAGATGGCTTCTTCTCGGATCCATCGAAGAAGCCCCAAAGCTCACGCTCCATCATGTGAACCTTCAACTTGAAGATGCATAGTGCTCGCCATTGAACAATGGCACCGCACTCATGTCGACGATCGTCGTCGATGCGGAGTAGGACCCGTTAAGGGTAGGACGAACAGGGACATCAGAGGTCGATGAGGAAGTCAAAGACATGGCGACGAGTAGAGCTAGGCATCAAGCGTATGAGAATTCCTAAAGCTTTGAAACCATATAGGAAATCCGTCTTCTTTAAAACTCCGTCGTGAACTCAGTTCTGGATGGAAAAATTCGTGTGAGCGATTTCTGGATAGGTCTGAGGATCACGAATCCGTTGCACTAAAGAACGGAAAGATCGGCCAAGAAATGAGAATGGTAACTTCAATAATTCGGGGCTGGGTACACAATTTCAGAGAGGATGCAATTCACAATGACGAGAGAGTTTTTATACTCTATAACATCGAATTTCAAGAAACTCCCTATAGTCGAATCGCATTTGTAACCGAACCGCGCGCGATCTGTATCCCACCCCAATTACATTTGACGGTGGAATTTCGAAAAAGAGCTACGTCCCATTTCCGTCTTACACTTCCGTCAATGCATTCAACTTGTACTTACAATTGGTCGGACCAATTGTATCGCGCCACGTGTTTGTGATTTGTTTGGTTCATTCCTCCCACATGTAAATAACCCTCGATGGTTTTGTTTGCTAGCTACCACCCAAGTGCAACTCTTGTTTTGAGTGCACCGCCACCCTCCACCCAAAACTCTCGACACCCAACCCAACTTGGCAAGGTTGGAGGTGTGTGTAGTGGGGACCACTTGGCCCCCACCGACCCTCAACACTCCCCCTTGGTCCCCACGAGCACCTATGCATACAAGCCTACCCTAGCACAACATGCATGAAAGGTATATCTAGGCAAAGGCTTGGTGAGGAAGTCCGCGGATTGAGCGTTGGTATTCACATAGCGTAGCTCCACCTCCTTGTCTTCGACGAGCTTGCGGATGAAGTGATGACGGATTCGGGTGTTCTTGGACCTTCCGTGAAGGACCAGGTTCTTGGCGAGGTTGATTGCCGCTTGGTCGTCCACGTAGATCGGTGTGGGTCGCTCTTGCTCGTATCCTAGCTCAGCTAGGAGACGCCTCAACCACACTGCTTTGGTCCGACCACGGTTGAGAGCAACATACTCGGCCTCGGTTGAGCTAAGCGCAATCAAGTTTTGCCGCTTGCTTTGCCAAGCCACCGCTCCCCCAAGGAGCGTGAAGACAAGGCCCAATGTGCTTTGCCGAGTGGAAGGATCTCTCGCCCAATCGGAATCCGTGAACCCTATGAGTGCTATCGGCCCGGCTTCATAGTGGAGCCCTAGGTGACTAGTGCCCCTAACATAGCGAAGAAGACGACGCAAGGCACGCTCATGCTCCACCATGGGGCTGGAGACTACTCGCCCAAGTAGCCCAACCGTGAAAGAGAGGCTGGGACGAGAGCTCACGGCGGCATACATGCATGACCCAACAATGGAGTAAAAACGCTTGGTCTTCTCGAGATCCATAGGGGTTTCCAC